ATTATATGAAACCCCTTATATAATTTTGATTAAGTCCCTAAATAGATAAAAAATATAGGGGGTAAATGAAATTATTTAAGCCCATGGGACCAGTCCAAGGATCGGTCCTATAGGCCTGATTCTACTCTCTTAAATTTCTATCATTCTTAGTGTATTATACTTGCCCCTTTAAAATTACATCATTTCGTTTTGGTCTTCTAAAAAGAGATTAAAAAATCCGTCTTTTAAATTATAGAGAGGGGAATTTTCAGGAACCCAGAAAATGCAATTGAAAATCAATTTCCTTACCGCCATTATCGATGTTAAACTTGATGTGTTATTTCCGTGTTGGAAAGCGCTTGATTGTTGTTAAGTCAGAGGAAAGGAAAGAATCATGCAAGTTCTTCAATTGAAAAAAGCATGCCTTGGAAAATAAATAAATTTCAGCAGTAGTCACTGCAATTTCCCTGCGGCTTCTGTGAGGAATTAATTATTGGAATCACTTTCACTGCTATGACACCATTTTGGTTTCCGATTGGATGAGCCATTTGAAAATAGCCATTATTGCCAAAATAATTTTGGAATATGAGAATCGACTGAAAGATCTTGTAGTTTGAAGTTTCTGAAAGTATGAATTTTTATAGCAATTAATATCTTATATAAAGAAGTTGATCTATTGTTCTCGTAAATTTGTATTCCGATGTGAATCTTTAATAAACATGTTTTTAGTAAAATGACTCCTTTAGTCTAGTGGTAGATTTGGAGAGCGTAGTACTTGATTAATTATGCTAAGGAGTTTATTGGTATTGTGTTTGTTTTGATTTGTTGGTTGGTCATAATTTTGCATATCAATAGTATACGCAAATTGATTTATTTAGGATATTTTTAATTAAAGGATTGCAATTAGAAACTTTGATTTTATTTTAGCCTTATTTAGTTGAATTTGTTCTTGAAATTCGGATTTGATGTGAAACTAATTTAGATATATGATTGCAAAGAAACTTTGATTGAATTTGGTACATATTTAGTTATATGAATATTCTTGAAATTTTTGATTGGATTTGAGACTTATTTGGTTATATAATTGTATTTGGAATTTTTTATTTAATTTTGGACTTACTTAGCTATATGATGTTGATTTAGAAATGAAAGGATAAAAACTTTGATATGAGTTATGGAGTACCTATTTAGTTTTATGATTGTGCCTATTCATACTATTTAATTTGATTTTTGACTTGTTTAATTATAACATATGATGTTGATTTACAACTTGTGTAAGGTTGATGATGATGAAACTTCCATAAAACTTTATATAATTAGCTTTGAAATATATATAGATTTGAGTATTCACCACATGAAATATATATAAATAGATACTATGTTTTCATATGGATCCCTACGTCGTTACATTTCATTTAGGATTAGGAGTAGGCATAATCGAACCTGCTTTTTATGCATCTTTCATTATTTGGGACCCTATTCACTCTATTTGGGCTTTTATTGAATCGAGAAATTGGTTTGACTGTCCATCTTTTTGATATAATATTAATATATATAAGGCATCATCCGAATAATTCAAATCGAAGCAATTGATTGTCCGATTGGGGCCTAAATGACGTGACTGATCAATAGAAATACTCCAACACTCCCCCTTTGTCATATATTCCATACATCACATTAGATAAATGTCATCTTCATAGAATACGATTCACTTTCAAGATGCCTTGGTGGTGAAATGGTAGACACGCAAGACTCAAAATCTCGTGCTAAAGAGCGTGGATGTTCGAGTCCTCTTCAAGGCATAATATTGAGAATGCTCATTGAATCAACAATTCAATAAGAGATATCGGATCGAATCTATATTGATATACCGATTCGATATAAGATCTTGGAATTTGAATAAGTTTGGCAGCAAATCACGAAATCTTGGTGATCCTCTCTATCTAATGAATGGGGAGTCCATTTTGAAATCGTCCATCCTATACCCACCCCCGAGTATATGCTTCAACAAGGATCACACAAGAGAGGATTGATACAATATAAACCTCTGGTAAAATGTCCACCTGTAACCCAGCCGATAAAGTACATTACATAGTCCGTTTTAGGGCTTGTTGACTTACCCGTTTAGTGACTTTGTCATTGGATGTTCCCAAAATTGGTACTGTTAAGTCGGGTGACTTCAATAATATGTTAGGAAATGATCAAGTCATGGCAGAGGAAACAAAAATTATTTACGACATGGATCGTTCCTTAGAACCAAGATTAGGGCACAAACATACAGTTTATACATTAAATAAGAATCTGTAGAAAATCCAGTCTAGAGTTAAGAAATCATACGCACGTTTGGAGGCTCCTCCAACTTGTCTCTAAACGGATTTCGCTACTGACCCAAGAGTAGGATCGAACCAATGTAGTCTACACGAAGACAACCCCGAGGAACTAAAGAGGGATTTGCTGGATCCTCTTTAGCCTTAAGAACCAAGATGAAATCAAAAGAGATTTGAGAGATATTAATAAGTAACTGTTATTGGGAGATATTAATATTTCAATTAAATTGAAATATTAATAATAACGATAATGATGGTCATATTAATGACACGGGTTATTTGGAATTAAATTCCAACATTCTCCCATTTGACCCATCAAACACTTAATATGTAACAATTAACATTGATACATCCTCAAATGTTTCCCATATATATAACATCCTTGTACTCAAACAAAGAGTTTAAATTGCATGAATCACGGGGATAAAGTCCTCTAGAGTAAGTATTACTTTCCACGTATTACAATGCAACTTTCTCTTTTAAATGAAAGTCATATATGGTATATAACTTTATTAATGAACTTCCAAATGCTCATTTAGGGTCAACAAACAAAAATTCAAACATGCATTGTCATTCTCCAAACTTCATGTGTACAACTAAATAAGAGAACAATTACCTCTCTTAATAAAAGTTTATAAATTAATAAAAACACACCCACCCATCCAAGCTCGCCAATAACAATCGTCAGCCGCTAGCTGCCAGCGCCGAAACGACGCCATTCCGATGACTTTTGACCACCGTCCAGTGGTGGTGGCCAGCTGTCGACAATTAGTTGGGTGGGTGGGTGGAGTTATTTTTGTTGATTTATAAGATTTTATTGTTGGGGCATGTTAGCTAAATTAACAAATATAAGGTGTTAAAAATTAATCTAAATATTTTCAGAAAATATTTTTAATATATCAAACATATTCTCAAAATCTTGTCTTATTTAATTAAATCCTAATATATTCTATTCAAAATAAAATACTATTAAAAAAAGAGTTTTCTGTATGGTTTTTGTGTCGAAAGATGAGTGTGTGAAAAGACCTTGCCTTAGCAAATGAATTTTTTGCTCCCTATGGTTTTTGTCCTAAGTAAAGGACATGAGTATATTTTATTAACAAAATTATCCTCCAACTTGATAGACGTTAAGGTAACAATAACAAGAAAGAGGGCATGTGAGTAGCCGAGTAGGGCTGAGTAGAAATTTCAAGTGGAACCAGAACTGCAAGGTACCCGCGTTCTGGTTTTGGTTTCGAAAATTCAAGAATCTGTATTCTACAGTTTCGGTGCCAGTTCCACCACTTTAGGAACCGGTAACGACCNGTTTGAATTGTGTTAGATCTTTGACTTTAGGGTCCAGTAAACTATGAACCTGGGCCTTTAGCCTATTCGAAAAGTTATTTCAGATTCCTTATTTTAATTTGAAACCTGCTAGTCAACAGTCAACACTCAAGACGGCCTAGAATTCAAGTGTAGCTACTTGCAGATTAGAGACTTTTCTTTCTCCGATAAATGAATACTACAAAATTAGATCAAAATTAAATCTTATCAAAATATAATATAGGTAACCACCCATCGTCATGATCAAATGATACGATAGAGACTCTTAGATATATTACTCAAGAGATTTTAAATTCAATTTCTCTTAATTGATAATAAAAGTAGTTATTAAGGTTTATCCTGTCATCGGTGGATTATGATATAGGAGCATTACCAAAGTCTTTTAAAGAAAGGTTATCTTAACGTAGGTCTGCTTCTGGCCTAGATCAACATAAGTTAAATAGAGTCTCTATCATCCTGATTAACGAATCAAGGTTCATAAGACAAAAAGAGCATTTTGTAGGTCCTTATACTCATTATGCCTAGCATTGAATAGACTAGGTACTCCCCTTACCAATATCTCAAATCCCATGATCCTGAACCGATCTGACTTGCGATCGCAAATCCCAAGTGTGTCTATGAAGAGCGGATCGAATTGTATTAGTGTCTATAATTGATTTCTTCTGTGTAATACTAATCGATAGGACCTCATTGGTAAGTGCTACAAGATCTCGTGCACTGGAACCTATGGTTAGGGACCCGAATCCATTAGTATGGAACATTTTCTTTTCCAAGTGAAATCCCCTAGTATATGAAATAGTGAAAAAGTGCTTTCGTTGTTGTGGAATAAGAAGTCTTCTTATCTTAATGCATGTATTTAATTTATTCAGGGCTATTAGAGTAGGATCCACTTTTTGGGGAATATGAGTCGAAGTAATAACAAGAATATTTCTAGTAGAACATCTTTCACAATCCCTGGAGAGACAGTTCACTAATAGACCGAGGGATAAGTAATTCAACTCATTCACATCCAGATCATGAATGTTTGGAATCCATATTATGCAAGGAGACATTGCTTTTGCTAATTCGAATTGAAGGGTGATATAAAATCGGTCTATTTCCGACATCATATCGATAGTTAGCACATTCATCATAGTTAGAAGCTCCAGCTCCGTACCAAGGTCACGATCGATATCGTCACTAGCATCAATATCGTCAGTAGCATTAATATTACCGGAGGACTAGTTGAGACTTGAGAGTGATGGCATGAAGAGNACTTTGTACCGCTTTATCTCTTCTTGGAGTTCGTATACAGGTCTTGCAGGGTGAAGTAGTCTCATCTTCCATGTATGCAGCATGGTGTAAGATAGTGTAGCCATTTTTGTCAACCAATCAGACTAATCTTGTCATTGGTATTTTCATATTTTTCACACTATCGAAGATCTCAGATTGATGGTTCTTAATGGCCACATGCAATATGTTCTGATTCAGATGATTTGTATACTCAACTAGCTTGGGCCATTCTCCTAGTATCTTGTTCACAATCTCTACAATTCCTCTTTCAATTGCCAGCAATAATGGTATTGGGGTTGGTCTTTTAATATTTACATATTCTTGTTCATCAGAATCAGTAGATGTAGAAGATGTTGGAAGGGCTTCTTTAATCTTTTCTTCCCACGAAGTATCTACTTCTATTAGGAGCTCAGTAAGTTTGGAAGCAAGTTTATGCTGTCTCTTTTCTTCGTAGATTTTTCTTAGTGGTGCACATATTTTTCCCAGTAATATCAGCCACCCTATTCATGTTTAGGAGAAAAAATGTGCTCAACAAACAATGGTGATATAGAGGAAATTCATATAGAATATCCCTTAATATCGAACAAAAGTAAATTCTTATGATTACAAAAGAAAATTTGTATCTATTACCTTTGTAAATATTATTTGAACTAGTAGATTTTTTATCATCTACATCATAAACTATTGGAATGCCAGTAGTTAAACACCTAGTAGGTTTTTCATCATCTGCATCATCTTCGATCGAGAGGCATGTAGTCAAACAACTATTACTATTTTCGTCATCACTGATAGGAAGGCCTGAAAGGTGTAGGAATTAATAAGATGTATGTTCTATTAAAAAAAAGGTTCTTTTAACATGCATGTTTCAAGGGCACATATTTTAATTTAGAAATTAAACGATATATATAATTATGACTCAAAATAATATTCTTAACTAATACATGCCTTTTATAATAAATTATTTTCAAGTTAGAATTATATATGGATCAATTGATGAAATATTTATTAAGATAGAGATGACATTCGTTAGCTCCATGCAGTAATAGTTTTTAGTTTCAATAGAATTATAGAAAGATGGAAACTATACTTATAGAAATATAAGACTCTGTTGATCCATGTGGCCCATCCATGTCCACTTTTGAAAGTAGATGGTATAGTGGCTAGCAGGTGAAGACCGGTGTAGCCCTTTTTGTCCTTCAATTCAGCAAAGGATTCATCCAGGTTCAGTAAATGTAGAGCTGTTTCTGAGCAAAATTTTGAAAAGAACTTAGCACATCAAATAGCTGTTCAATATTTCAATTCAAAACAAAAGTAAAGAAGCTAGATGGCAGAGACAGAGACCAAAATGGCTTCCTTTGATGGCACCGTGCAGAATGGAGGCGTCAGGTTCTCCCTTGAATGTTTCTTCTTGGGTGGAATCAGGCAGATTGGAGGCATCAGGTTTGGGCACTAACAGTATTTTTCCTTGGAAAGCACCAGGCATATTGGAGGCATCAGGTTTGGTCTCTAATATTATTTCTCCTTGGATAGCACTAGGCAGATTGGAGGCATCGGGTTGGGGCTCTATCTTGGTCAAGCATATGTTTCAGTAGTGAATGTCTTTAAGCTTTGTACATTCTTTGTCTTTCTCTTTTCCAACGTCTTTTTTAGTTTTTCTCAATTGTCCCAATGATTCTTGAGCTAAAAACTTTACCACTTTTGTTCTCCAATTTGCAGCCACTTTAAAAAGTGGGGTTTCGCCCTCTTTATTCAAATCCTCAAGGAACTCAGTATGATTTGGATCTGCATCTTCCTCATAGAGCTGCTTATTGTGATTGACCAACAACTTTACCGCCTTAATATTCTCATTAGCTGCAGCCTCATGAAGAGATGTGTTTCCGTAGTCATTCTTTCCTAGATACTTATACTTTTTCATAGTATCATTTTTGGCAATCTTAAGTAAGCAGTGAAGTAGTTTGTCACTTTTGTTGAACGCTACCAAGTGAAATGCAGTGTCCCTGGTTGCCGATAGAGGAGACGACAAAGCTCTTGCATTTCCTTTGTTGTACATGTTCTTCAGTTCATCCCATCCATCATTCAGGGTTGCCTGATAAGGCTTATTATTAGCTAATGAATTGACGTCCATCGTCGTTCTTCAATTTAAAAACTTCACTATAGAGACAAGAAAAGAATTAATGAAGAATTCAACCAAAAACTCTGCAAATTAATTTTTCTCCAATTAACTTTTAGTTCTGTCTCTTGCACGTCTTCATGAATTATTTATTTGGTTAGGAAGTAATAATACATGTGTGAATTTAACATGCACAACTCTTCATGAATCAGTTTCACAAACTTGACTTGGGGGTTGAAATATTAATGTGACGCCTACTTCTAAATTAAGATATGTGCCCTTGAAACATGCATGTTAAATTCGCACATCATCACTTTGCTTGTATTATTACTTCCTAACCAAGTAATAATGGGGATATTCCCGAAACTCACAAAGAAAAAAGGAAGTGAGTTAGACAAAAAGAAAGGAAGTGACTTAGACAAATCTTTTTTGTCGATAACCTCGGACCAATCAACCGAATATTGATTAATACCTAATTGATAGAATACTACTTGAAAACGGCTCTTCTGCTCATAAACGAAATGTTCCAAATGCTTTTGGAAATTCTTACTCCCATTGGACCATTTGTATCTATATGCATTAGGATCCTAAGTCATGAGTCTCTTGGTTCAAGAAATAAAAATAAGAGGATCGAACCTTTTCTTCGGACTCTTTTTCAAATTCGATAAATGTTGGTTGATCGTATATTTTATTATAGTTCTATGATTCAGAGTCTCATTTCCTATTTTATCCCTTTGAACTCCATATTCGAAGTTGCGATCGGATTGATTCATTAAAAATAATTGATTCAATGCATTTCTTATGTACCCACAGGTGCTATATTGGATTTGAATCCGATTTCGGATCAATCTATATTGATTGACTGCCTTCATTATGTTGTTGCTAGCAAATACTACTATTTTTGGTTTTGGATCTTCCAAATCATTCCCGCAGGAGATCCGAACCCATTTTTTTCCGATCCTTCGATAAAAAGATTCATTCTCTTCATAAAAAATATGAGGTAGAACCAATAAAGATTTCTTTTTCGATTCATCTCTGGAGTTGAATACCTCATTCAAGAATTGTTTTTGTTCCAATCCGTAGGAATCAATAGAAAAGGCAAATCCCTTATGATACACCAGATCCGGCTCTGTTATTGATAGAGTGAATAGATCTGCCATCTCTTGAAATCTCTCTTCTGATTCAAAATCATGGTGTAACATGTATCCCCCCCTGTTTCGGTCATGGAATAGATGAAATAAATCAAAAAATGGATTTTTGTTTAAGAATGAAATCTTATTGGACTTGTCCATATCCAGTTCATCCTTCGGAACCATATCACATCCCGAATATGATGAAATAGGATGAATTGAGATGGTTTTTTGTAAATACATACCAGGGGTGCCATATTCTAGGAGCCCATACGATGTGATTGAATAAATCCTCCTCTATCTATTGCAGGTCGAGGACTCCTTCTCCTTCCCCTTCTTCAAACTTCGATTCGTATTTTTCATAGAGAAATCTCTTATCAACGATAGAACAAGATCCATTTTGCATCATATCTAAGGGATTCCTTGGTTCGGGCCAAAGAAGCAATATCACTCGATCATTATCAAACCGACTTCAATCTTTTTCTATCCGTGAGAATCCCACTAGAGCACTTTCTAATTCTAATAGGCCATGAACTAGATCAGAATCATTCTCAAAGAGTCCAAAAGAAGTGATCCCCTTTTTTTCATCGGGTCCGGGTGGAGACCAAAGATCTTGAGCGATCGATCCGACAGAACAACTTAAAAGATAAAGAAGTATCGTTAATTTCTTCATGCTCGTTCCAAGTTCGAAGTACCATTTGTACAAATAAGAATCCTCTTCGTTGCATGATTTCTTCTTCATATAGATAGATATAGGATCTATGGGGCAATTACTTAGAAGTACATTTTGTGCAATAGCCCTTCCTATCTGATAGAAAAGGATTCCATGATCCTGAACCGATCTTACTTAGGATCACAAATCCCAAGTGTGTCTATGAAGAGCGGATCGAATTGTATTAGTGTCTATAATTGATTTCTTATGTGTATTACTAATCGATAGGGCCTTATTGGTAAGTGCTACAAGATCTCGTGCATTGGAACCCATGGTTAGGGACCCGAATCCATTAGTATGGAACATTTTCTTTTCCAAGTGAAATCCCCTAGTATATGAAAGAGTGAAAAAGTGCTTTCGTTGTTGTGGAATAAGAAGCCTTCGTATCTTAATGCATGTATTTAATTATTTACTTGGTTAATGCATGTATTAACCAACCAATAATACAAGCAAAGTGATGATATGTGAATTTAACATGCATGTTTCAAGGGCACATATCTTAATTTAGAAGTAGGTGTCACATTAATATTCCAACCACCAAGTCAAGTCTGTGAAACTAATTCATGAAGAGCTATGCATGTTAAATTCACACATGTATTATTACTTCCTAACCATGTAAATAATTCATGAAGACGTGTACGAGACGAAACTAAAAGTTAATTGGAGAAAAATTAATTTGCAGAGTTTTTGGTTGAATTCTTCATTAATTCTTTTCTTGTCTCCATAGTGAAGTTTGTAAATTGAAGAACGGCGATGGACGTCAATTCATTAGCTAATAATAAGCCTTATCAAGCAACCTTGAACGATTGATGGGATGAACTGAAGAACATGTACAACGAAGGAAATACAGGGGCTTTGTCGTCTCCTCTATCGGCAGCCAGGGACACTGCATTTCAGTTGGCAGTGTTCAGCAAAAGTGACAAAACCGCTTCACTGCTTACTTAAGATTGCCAAAAAAGATACTGTGACAAAGTATGAGTATCTGGGAAAGAATGACTACGGAAACACAACTCTTCATGAGGCTGCCGCCAATGAGAATATTAAGGCGGTAAACCTGTTGGTCAATCGCAATAAACAGCTCTATGAGGGAGATGCAGATCCAAATCATACTAAGTTCCTTGAGGATTTGAATGAAGAGGGTGAAACCCCACTTTTTAAAGCTGCTGCATATGGGAGAACAAAAGTGGTAAAGTTTTTAGCTCAAGAATCATTGGGACAACTGAGCAAAACTAAAAAAGACGTCGGAAAAGAGAAAGACAAAGAATGTACAAAGATTAAAGACATTCACTATCGAAACATATGCTTGACCAAGATAGAGCCCCAACCTGATGCCTCCAATCTATCTAGTGCTATCCAAGGAGAAATAATATTAGAGACCAAACCTGATGCCTCCAATCTGCCTGGTGCTTTCCAAGGAAAAATACTATTAGTGCCCAAACTCGATGCCTCCAATCTACCTGATTCCACCCAAGCAGAAACATTCAAGGGAGAACCTGACGCCTCCATTCTGCATGTTGCCATTAGAGGATGCCATTTTGGTCTTTGTCTCTGCCATCTAGCTTCTTTACTTTTGCTTTGAATTAAAATATTGAACAGCTATTTGATGTGCTAAGTTCTTTTCAAATTTTCGTTCAGAAACGACTTTACATTTATTGAACCTAGATGAATCCTTAGCTGAATTGAAGGACAAAAAAGGCTACATCGGTCTTCACCTGCTAGCCACTATACCATCTACTTTCAAAAGTGGACATGGATGGGCCACATGGATCAAGAGAGTCTTATATTTCTATAAGTATAGTTTCTATCTTTCTATAATTCTATTGAAACTAAAAACTATTACTGCATGGAGTTAACGAATGTCATCTCTATCTTAATAAATATTTCATCAATTGATCCATATATAATTCTAACTTGAAAATATTTTATTATAAAAGGCATGTTATTAGTCAAGAATATTATTTTGAGTCATGATTATATATATCGTTTAATTTCTAAATTAAGATATGTGCCCTTGAAACATGCATGTTAAAAGAACCTTTTTTATAATAGAACATACATCTTATTAATTCCTACACCTTTCAGGCCTTCCTATCGGTGATGATGAAAATGGTAATAGTTGTTTGACTACATGCCTCTCGATCGGAGACGATGTAGATGATGAAAAACCTACTAGGTGTTTAACTACTGGCATTCTAATAGTTTATGATGTAGATTATAAAAAAGCTCCTAGTTCAAATAATATTTACAAAGGTAATAGATACAAATTTTCTTTTGTAATCATAAGAATTTACTTTTGTTCGATATTAAGGGATATTCTATATGAATTTCCTCTACATCACCATTGTTTGTTGAACACCTTTTTTCTCCTAAACATTAATAAGGTGGCTGACATTATTGGGAAAAATCTTTGCACCACTAAGAAAAATCTGCGAAGGAAAGAGACAGTATAAACTTGCTTCCAAACTTACCGAGTGCCTAATAGAAGTAGATACTTCGTGTGAAGAAAAGATTAAAGAAGCTCTTCCAACATCTTCTACATCTATTGATTCTGATGAACAAGAATATATATATATATATATATATATATATATATGAGAGAGAGAGAGAGAGAGCACCTTTTTTGTTTTTCTTCTTCACCCGTCCTTAATCCTTCCAAGTAATTTGCTCATTTTGAAAATAATTGTCTTCTTTCAATCATCGAGACTTGATTTATATACAACTTTTTAGGAAAACTATATCACGTTAAGGTCCATGAGTTTTGAAAAATTAACATTTATACTCCTTGTTAAAGACTCATATAAACTTTCACCAAACCCCCGAGTTGCCAGCCCTTTTACAGCTGTCATGTCCTTGTCTCTGCTCAAAGTCATTTTTCTCCGTCAGTGAGACAAAGAGTGATGCAATGTGCACTTCTGGATCTAATATTGTTGATGTTGACATGCAGTCAAACATTAACATTTGGGACCAATTATATTAATTAGCTGCTGGTTTTCCCTATTTGGAAAAACTTAACACGTGATCTCTGACTAAGCTTTCCCACTTCAATTTCATTTCCTATCATCCTAAAACGCTCTTCTATTTCTTCTTCACAGCCAGATTTGTACATAAATACCAATTAATCACTCACAAATAATACTAGCATAACCAAATTAACTCCATCTTTGAGTATGTAC